CTTCATAGCCATGGGAAGTTGTAGAATGAAAGCTTATTATGCATTATAACGACTTTGCGCCGTTCACGCATGTTAAAAAAGTATGGTTAAATCTTGATAGCACGAGTAATTTTGGCAGCATCGGAGGACTGTCTCAAAACGCGCGCGTGATTTCAGTTTTTTAAGTAAAACGTCGGTATAACAGAAATTAATCCCGGGAATAATATTGTTAATCAGACTTTTTCTTTCCGTGGTGGAGCCCGAATGGTTTCACAAGAAGCTGCTCGCTGAAAAAAATAAATATTGGCCTGCATTGAGATTGAAGGCAACACAGGCACCGAAGGCAACACAGAGCTAAATCAAATTCAGAGAGAGCTTTGAGACGCCTTCTTATTTTTTTTTAATCTCATAGGCCCACTGCTTTGTCCGATCACTCAAAGGTGATGCTCATTAATGCAGAAAATGGTTACGAATGGTACATACAGACAGCGAGAAAAAACTGCAGTTTGCTCTCCCAAGAACTGGCGAATAGAGAAGCAGAAGGTGTTCCAACCAACACAAGGAAGACCCAGAATGGGCTGTAGCCACTTGAGATAGGCGCAGCGCAGGCCAAGTGTCTGGTAGGTATACCCAGGCAAACATGATACAGAGATGATGGAATAGACCAGAGCTTGTAAATACGCGTTTTCAGTATACGGTTCTCACAGAAGGCGGCCCTGGCTGCATAAGTTCTTTACAAGTACTGCAAGAGGGCCTGCATATGAATATAAGAGACTGAGCGAGACATTGTACAATCCACTTATACCACTATTGCATTTCCTAATTGGCGCTATTAATTTGATTAAACAGTACACACTTCGTTATTAACAAGTGTTTCCCCGAAAAGAAAACCAAGCCCCGTTTCTTTTCCCAATCCCTCAATGTAGCCCTTTTAAACAGACGGGCTGAGCGACGAACGGCGCAAAGCCGTTATAATAAATGTAATCGGACCGCCACCTCGGTACACCAGGCATTATTCGGTGTGCCTTGCCAAGGGTGTTTATATTTAATGCACTCGCAGGCTCGTGCATTAAATACAAAAATAACACTCATTTCATTCGTGTTATTTTTGAAAATATTAACCTCACTTCGTTCGGTTAATATTTTAGGAAAAATAATGCCCTCACTCCGTTCGGGCATTATTTAAAACACCCTTGGCTAGGCACACCGAATAATACCTGGTATACCGAGGACGCGGTCCGATTAAATATATATTAATGATGTGTGCTGGTCATGGTGCAGTTGGCCAGAAATATTCAATAAATATTTTAACCTTCCCTTACAAAAGATCCAAATGCATTAATCCTGATCTGAATGTCAGCATCCAGCATCCACAATCCCATGACAACATCTCACTGAAACCTTTCCGACCACTCGTGTCCATTAGCAGGCCTGTCGTCGTGTTTCAGCTTTATGAACGTGACTGTACGACCGGCACGGTTCACGGACGCGGCCGGAACGTGCGCCAGATTCGACTCGTTCTTCGTGCACGGACGACAGATTCGCTACGTGCACATACCGGACGAGGTGAGCTGGGAAGGTGTGGGGAGGTGAGAGGGGAAGGTGTGGGGAGGTGAGCGGGGAAGGTGCGGGGAGGTGAGCTGGGAAGGTCCCGGGAGGTGAGCTGGGAATGTGTGGGGAAGTGAACGGGGACGGTGTGGGGAGGTGAGCGGAGCGGGGAAGGCTCAAAGCGATGTGAACAGGGAGGGGACAGTCCCAACTCCCATACGAGAGATAGTTACAGGAGGGATGAAGGCTGAAGTCATCTGAGGGTAATCCTAGATGGCGAGCGCCGAGCGGGACAGTTCCAGTCGGGTCGACCGTTCGGGTATTTACTATGGAAGTCACGGAGTCGGACTCCGTGGACATTCGGACCGCGACGGCAGCGCCACCTACAGATGGCGCTGTCGGCGGACTTTGATGCACAATCCGGCCAGGACGTGATGGCACGCTCAGAGTTTTGGAGGTAGGTAGCTGGAGACGTGGCGAAATGAAAGGGAGGCGTGATGGAATGCTTGTGACTTTATGCATAGGTCAGGGATTGCGTGAGAAAGTTCACTAATTCATGTATCCTAGCTCCGACTTTGGCTCTATATAGGTGTTTTCGAATTCTTGTTGGGTCAATTGTTCAGTAGCATCGTGCTTATTGGCCATTTTGGTAAATAAAAATATCAAACATAGCCATTGTGTTGCGAGAGCCACCATTCCCAAGTGCCATTTTGATTATTAAATTTAAATTTCTACAATTTACACTGAACCTAGGAATTACAAGCATAGAAGAGGATTGTCATCCAGGCCAAAGCTTAGCCCCACTCATGTTATCCAGCTCTTGAATTTTGTCTAAAAGTTGTATGTTTTGTACGTCTATTGTAACCAAGTGAATGGCAACACCTCATTATTTTGGAGATCATGATAACATCGATATAAATCATTGGCTGATCATGGCACACATAGTTGATCAGACGCTATATTTCCGGAATTGAAATATTGAGAACATTTCAGTGTATTGATTTTTTTTTTCATATAAACCCTGGCTGGTGTTCATCTAACCTTCAAACCTCTCCGGACTCCGAGCGCCGAACAGGGTCGCTCCCTAACACAGGGCTTAATGTATTTCGACACAACATTCCGCTTTGAGTCCTTAATTAAGAGTATGATGTTAATTACAAAATTTACGACATGAGGACAGTTTCGGCTCGGTAAGTCGAGCTGAGGCTGCTCGCTCCTCCCGGTCCGCGGTGCCCCGCGCGGCCGGCGCCGTGTAACTGGCGCCGTGGCCGCCAGGTGTCACCCCTGTCGGCCATCCGGCGACAACTGGAGGTGAACCAGCGTGGTGGCCGTGCCGTGCGCTCAGACGAGGCCGATCAGATGAAACGCTCCCGGCGCACCAAGAAGGCGCAGGCCTACACCCGCGAAACGGTGCGCGCGATGGCCTTCCAGGAGGGGTCGGCCGGCGCCGCCGCAGGGGGCTCCTCTTCAGGGAGCTCCGCCGCGCCGCCGCCGCCGCCGGGGCGACCTGACGACGACGCTGATTTCGTGTGACACCGCCCTGCTCTGGGGCTCAGCTAGAGTGAAGGAGAGGTGAACACATGTTTGGTACCTGATTGTGTTCATGACGAGCATGGCTCGACGGCCCGGATGGGGTCATGTGGTACTGTGTTTGTATTTGTGTGACTATAGGAGGGATGCCCACTCGTGTTGGCTGTGTCGTTAGATCAGCAGTTACTGGCGAGGAAGTGCCGCTGCTTCCTACCTAACTATGTACGATCTGCAGCTCATCGTTACGGCCATACGAACGGCCGTGGTTCATTAAACTTGTCGAGAATGGGGACATTGTGTGCTGCGATAAACGCTGCTCTGTGATCTACTGTGGTTTTGGATTTGAAGTTAGTCCGGGCTGTTGTGGTCATGCGATTCATCTTAAGTTTTGGTTCATTCATGACTTGCCAGGTATCTATTCGTTGTGATGTGTGCCTATAAAAGTCGTCTCTTTGCTACTTGATATATTTTTTTCAAATAAAAAAGATAAACGTAAAAAAACTGTGTTTGTCAGAATGCGTTTCACGAATGTGCATTTCATTTTTTAATCTTGTAGCTCTTGACACCGCAGGGGAAAAACGATACAAAGCGAAACTTGCGGATATTGTTCATGTAATATTTAACACCACAACTTAAGAAGATTTGGCATAGCGCGATGCCGGAGGGCCACCTGCCAATTCCAGTGAGTCCAACAGCTCAAATTACCTTCCGTCGAACTGCGGCGTCTCATCCACGTGACCTCTGCCAGACGTCGCCAATTTATCGTGACATTAATCATTGTGAGTTATTTTGGCGGCCATTTCAGTCCCATCAAGGGTGCACGGGCCCGGGCCGCCGGCCTTGCGTGGGTCGTCGTCAGAGGGCCAGTCTGGCTGGTTTCCAGGCCTTGGGACCGCTGCTGCTGCGCGCTGCCGGCAGGTGGCACTCTGACGGCCGGGGGAGACTGGACGGGTCAGACCGAACTCTTGGAGAGCCGTCAGGTCCTTTGGGGAGCTGGACAGGTCTGACAGTGGGTCAGCGACCCTGGGAGGGGGTTCATACTCTTGGCAGCAGACAAGACACTGGGGAAAGGTTCTGGGAAAGGCTACACGCTCGCGGCGAAACTGGGCGGGTCAGGGAGAGGATTAAATTTTTTATGGAGGAAACAGGTCAGGTAATATGCCGGATCTGCGGAGAGCAAGTCAAATACGGGTCGGATTTGGTGGGTAGGTGCCAGGTGGACATATCAGAGAATCGGCGGCAGCTACTGAGGTGGCACACCGAGCAGTTGTAGCTCCTGTCAGATCGACCAGCACGAAGGTCCTTAACTCCAGCTTTTCCTGACTTGGAGGTTGGGAGGAGACTGGGAGGTAATAGGTTCAGCTTTAGTGGGACCGATCGACAGCAGACCATTCGAGACCGGACAGTCCAGGTCCAGGCCGGGTCAGGCCATTGCTGTCTCGCGGGACTGACACGTGTGACCGTCCCCTTCTGCCACCGTCCAGCCGCGGCTGCCGCTCGACTTAGCCGGCCGCCGGCGTGCCCCCTGGCTGGCAGCCACAGCAGCCCGTTTGGATCCGTCCTCTGACCATTAATCACCTGTCGTGCGCAGGACTGTCTGGCAGCTGCTCTGGGCCCGTCCAAGCTTTATTTTATCAAATAATCTACCGAATGGAATTCTTTTCCTGCTATGGGAGCGCTAGTAAAACAATATTTCGGTCGTATGTTTCCCGGCAGTGGAGATACAAATCGAACCAAACTTTCACTGGGATGGGCAAGGGATGGGAATTAGAATCTTCTTAACTCATAAGATGATGACTTTCTGTACTTACTAGCTCGTAAAACTTAAACAAGAACTGAGAAGCGGCTGAAGTGATTCGAAGTGTGTGATGTGCTCTGATGTATGTAGTGGGCACCGTGCCGGGAATGTATGCCTCCATATAATGATAAATGAAAACTCGCCGTTTTAATTGTGTTTTTATTGACAATAATTCATTGGCTTTCATGTCATCATATTGACATTCTATGACTGACACTCCATCTGAATGGAAAATGTGTTTACACTTTGAGCTGCAACGCAGCTTACTGGCTACGCAGAGCTCTTCAGTCGAGGCTCCGTGCCACATTTAAGACACAATGGTATAAAAAAAATCATGTTTGCGCGCTATCACTTGTCTAAGTACACAAAACTTGCCCAGTTGCAAGTACTTTCCGCTCACCAGGTGCGCCCGAAAATTGGCGATCTTTATCGGCGAGTTATAGCTAGTGCTGGGCCTTCAAATTGGCTAGCGAGCCTGACAACGCGAGTCCTTTCCCGATTGTAAGCTGGGGATGCGATCTTTTGCCGTCTGCTACAACTATGTCCGGAAGAGTTCCTGCACAAAATTAGAGTCAAGGTGTCCCACGGGCTGATACCTACATGCGTCGGCGCTTGTTGTGCCTGTGTGATGCTGCCGTTCTCGGACCTTGTTCAATGTTTTGGACCACTACTGGATTGCACTACCCTGCAATGAACTAAACTGTTCTACACCGATGGTGTTCACTACTCTCGACTAAGCTCGCCGACTGGAACTCTGTACTAGAGGTGTCCGCTCTGCCTCTAAGACGGCTAAGATGGGCCGTGGAGCCCCGCTCTCGCTGGCCGGCCGGTTCCGCTCACTGCGCTCCCCTGCTGGCCGCAGTCTCGCTGGAGACCGGAGCGCGGTGGCCGCCGGCTCCTACCTGGCCGGCATCATCTCGCTGTCGTCAGACAGTGTGATGTGCGGCACGGTGAGGGGCGGCGGGCGGCTGTCTCGGACCTCCTCTGGTCGCTCGGCGCTGGTGGCCTCGTACTCGCCGTCCTGGGCAGGAGACACGCGGCCCTCACACGCACTGTCGCCGACCGGGCCGGACTCGGCCGAGCCCGGCTCCGGTGTTGTGGACGGCTCCGCGTCACTGTCATCTTCCCAGAATCCCTTCTTTGGTTTCACAGGCGCTGGCCCTGTCTTTTCCTCGTCAGAAACGTCCCAGAAAGAGAACGTTTCCCCGTTAGTTGCAGGGGTGGTATCCGATGTTTGATCGGGTGCATCTGTGGGATTAGGACTAGCCGATATTCGATTGTCGGTCGCATCTTCTGCTGAGGTTTTATCTTCTTCCTGTTTCGAATCGTCTGGGGCTAGTGTTTCGCTTTCGGCACTCGTGGTTTCGCTAGCTCTACGTTTGATTTCATCGTCCTTTGAACGAACAGGTGCATCATTCTCATTAATGACATCCCAGAAAGAAAAACCACTGTCCTTTTCTTCAGCATTGTCGTTCTTTATATCACTTTGACTTCTTGATGTATCAGTTTCTTCTGCCTGATGCTCATTTCCATCACGATTATCTGCAAGTGAGGGATTCTCTTCTGGCTGGTGCTGCTTGGATTCAGAAGTTCCTTCCGTCTCGGAGGGGGGCTGTTCGTCGAGAGCAGTATCACTCGCCGCAGCTCCCTCGACCGTCGGGGCAGCCTCGGCCGAGCTGGCCGGTGACGCTCGCTCCGGCGACCCGGACCGCGGAGTCTGCACCGCAGATGCCATGGCAGATTTGTCGTCCTCCCAGAAGTCCTGCTCTGTGCTCGCCCAGAAGTCAAACTCTGATTCCGACTCGGGGGCCAGAGACGCGACGTCCGACATCTGATCAGAAGACTCGTTCGCCTTCATTAGCATGTTTTCATTCTGTTTGCCTTCGCTTTCAGCTGCTGCATGCTCTGTATTTGTGTCGACGTCTTCCTCTACCACTATTTTGACCTCCGGCCATGCAGGTGGGGCCGGTGCCTGGGTGCTGTCCTGTTTCTCTTCTGTGCTTTCTTCGTCATTGTCATCTCCCACCTCCCATTTGACGGGAGCCGCTCCGGTGGCGGACTCGGCTTCCCTCTCTGGACCCTCGGCCGTACCCTCTGCTTCCCTCTCTGATGCTGCTCCGTCCGCGGCCGCCTCTGGGGCTGCGGTGAACACCACTCCAACATCCACTCCCACAGCTCCTCCCACGGCTCCGTCAGCCTCGCTGATCTGCGTCAGGTTCTCGGCGCTGTGCCCTACCCGCGCGGCGGCGCCAGCCGACTCCGGTCGCAGCAGCCAGCCGGCGTCGCCCTTAGCCGCCTCCCTGGTCAGCTCCATGGATCGGCTTTTGTGCAGCGGCGGCGGCGGCAGGCCGAGCTGCTCCATGGAGCGGCAGCGCGCCGGCTGCTTGTCGCGCTGCTGACGCTCCAGCTCCTCCAGCAGGTCGGGACGCACCTCGCCGCAGCCGGGCCGCTCCGGCATCCCGTACTTGAAGCGGATCGTGTTGAGCGGCAGCAGCAGCTCGATCATCTTGTCGTCGTCGCGGCGCTGTGGGAGAAAAGGGAGGGGCAGAGATTGTCAGAGTCAGACCATCGCCGGCATTTTTTTAACGGACGACAATTTTCATTTCCACACCTTTCGATATTTCGCAGTCTATGACATGGTTCGACACTTTGTTACCAATTTCAGAGAATTACTTATGGCTGTGTCGGTGTCTGTTTTCGTTCGCCAGTTCAGCGCCCGACCGGACCCTCTCTCCAGTCGCCGGGTTCCAAGACAAACACCAGTGACGAGCGACAGTCGACGTCAGCAGTCGGAACGTCGAGAACGTCGCATGCCGCCACAGGCCGGCCAGGGCTCGCTCGGACGGGGACGCTCTCTGTCTGACTTTCTCTGTATCTCTGCCCCTGTTTCTGCCTCTCTTTGTCTCTTTTTCTCGCTCTCTCCTATCTCTTTATCCATAGGTCTCTTTCTGACTCCTTTTGTCTCTGTATCTTTCGGATTTTGTTTTTGCCTCTCGGAAATGGAGAATCACGTCAGGTAAGTTACTTTGGTCATGTCTCCTAACCTTCGAGAGGCCAGTGGTCATGTTTCTAATTGAATATGGTCCCGTCATGTGAGTTCAAATGTAATATCAACGAACTTTCATGGGTAAGAGAAGCCGTCAAGGACATGGACAACAAGCCAACTGAGAGGGATCACAAGACGGGACCACCTGAGAGGGACCGCCAGAGGTCACCTGAGAAGGACCACCTGAGAGAGACCACCCCGGCTGGAGCCACCTGACCGGGACCATCAGACCGGGACCACCGGGGCTGGTCCGGGCGGACCTCCGCCGTGGACCAGCGATCTCGGGCGCCGCGCGGGCGCCGGTCGCCAACACTCAGCTCGCCGATATAAATAGCCGCGTGGCGGCGCACCGTGCACGCACCCGGCGCATACCCGCCGCCAGCCGCCGGCCGCGCCCCCACCCCGCCCCCAGGACGACCGGAGGTCAAGGTCGCCACGCTCAAAGGGGGGGGGGATGCGACTGGGTTCAAGTGCTGACACTGACGTGTGAATCGTGTGACATGGCCACAATCCTCAATGGGCCTGGCGACCAAATGACGACACAGCCTGTATGTCTGCCCACCCGTGGAGACACGTGTGTGTTTGCGTGGTTGAATGTTGCCAATTGCATGTGTCCTTGGATGTGTTCTTAAATGCATGGTTGGAAAGGCATGACTGCGTGACGCGGGCGTGTGTATTGTGAGCTACACATCGAGCTGGCGGCGGCAGAGCCGGCCTGGAGGGCCGTGTGGCGCCGAGCTCGGTCACAGGTCGCGCCACCTGAGGAATGTGTCCCGTGCAGCGGCGCTGACGTCACGGCCGCCCCCCACGTCACGTCACGTCACGTTGTGTTTATCTGGGCTGTCAGCGGGCCGCCGGCGAGCTGCAGCAATCACCTCAGAGAGTGACGCAAGGCAGTCATGAAATACCTGCCCGGCGGCGGATGGCCCGCTCGTAAGACACCGGCGGATACACTAATCGGACGGAAAGGCGAAATTAACGACTCCGAAAGGGATTTATTTATCGATTTATCGCTCCTGTTTCTCGCATGTCCAAATGTGTCCTAGAACGATTTTATTCAGCTGCGTTGGTATTTCGTAGGAAAGCATATAAATGGCTTAAACCACTCTAGGGCCTAGGCTATTTTGCTGGTGTCTGCATGGGCGAACGTCCCTCATTTGGGATAAACCATTGACGTTTGCAAGTTCCAGGCATATGACGAACATATTATGCCGCCAATATTTGCCACACCGTTGCTTTTCTTCTGGGGTCTCTCTCTCTCGCTCTCGCTCTCGCTCTCGCTCTCGCTCTCGCTCTCGCTCTCGCTCTCGCTCTCGCTCTCGCTCTCTCTCTCTCTCTCTCTCTCTCTCTCTCTCTTTCTCCCTCTCTCTCCTCTCTCTCTCCCTCGGCCGTCTGTCGGCGTCGGCGGGTCGCTTGGGGAGCGCCGCTTACACAAGGAGCGCCAGTTTGGCACGGCCTGACCGGCACCGACACGAGGCGGGCTGGATCGCGACGGTGGGTGGCCCTGGACCGGCCCGGCGCCTGACATTCCGACACGCTGAGTCGCCGCGCAGCGACCCTGACACTGGAGACCCGCGTTACGACAAGGCGAGCCGAGATCCAAAACATGACGCATGGGTCACAAGACTCAATGGAAATGTTACTGGATAAAATAAAAGTTTGCTCACCTGAAACAGCATTTCTCCTTCGAAGTCCAGGATGTTGTGCTTCCGTCCTCTCATAAGCAGTCCCACGCATTTGTCGTTGATTTGACTGTATAACTGCAAGGAAAAAACAGTTCTGGTTACTGCCAAGCTGTGTTGTACTGCAGTGGAAAACTGTCAGGCCCGTCTATATAATGGCTAAGAAAGCACCTACTTGTAAACAACTATTTGAAACAATTTCAGTAGATGACGGTCTGTCGTTGCTATCAAAGCAATGCGTGACACGTGAGAGGCAAATCGAATGCCAAAACTTACGAATGCAAAGATCAATATCACCAACAAGTGTCTTCCCCCACCCCCACACACACACACGTCTGCGGGTAAACACCCACCCTGAAGACGTCACCGAAGCAGATGGCGCCGCGTCCGTCCGGCGAGCGCACGCCGCAGTCGAAGATGACGTCGCACAGCTCCACCATGTCGGAGATCATCTGCAGCTGCGCCTGCCGACCTCGCTCGGCCGTCTTACTGCCTTCCAGTGGCCTGTGGCGCGCGGCGCGTGGACCGTCAGGTTTTTTTTTGGCCGTATGCTGTTACGGTACTGCGGTGCCACTTGTACGGGACACCTGGTTGATTGTACTGATTGCCAGTTGTTGTTTTTTTTTTATAACAATGTACCAATAGATGTGTGCTCCAAATATATTTTTGTTTGTTTTGCGTAAGCTTTTTTAGGTCTTCTTTGACGTATAAACTTGGGACAAATGTTTGTTTTAATAGATATAGCATGGCAGCACTATTAGGTACGTATATATGTGATGCATGAAGTTGTTATGAACTATCCCAATTCCCACAGGTGGCACTTTTCCCCTATCTATCTCCCTGGGAGGCTTGTGACTCACTTGCCGTAGTCGGGGTCGTCTCTGGAGAGTTTTCGCCTCGTGCCGGAGCCGTCCCAGTCACTGAACGGGTTGATCATCTGGTTCTCCTTATGCATTTTGGCCTTGTTGTCGAACATGGACATTTTGGCCCCGACGTCGGAGAACAGGCGGATGTTGTGAGGCATGGCGGCACCGAGGTGGCCTTCCGCTGGCCCTCTGAAACGGACACACCGGACCTATGTAAAAATAATATTGTGTCCTCTGGTTAGTTCTTAGGTGTTCTTTGTTATAGCTGAACCGGCACATCTGTTTCTCCCTTTCGACACCATCCATGCGATAAGCAAATTAAATCCGTTTAGAAACATAAACCCCGGAAAAATGAATCACAGAGTGTTACAAAAGCGCTTCATTTATTGCCGACTGCCGAGCAAATGTTACGGCCTGGGCCACGTTTGACCCATAAGTCTGGGTAACAACGGACGCTCCTCGACGGCCCGGTGCTCTCCTCGCCCTGAGTCACGCAGCCATGTCTGGTTTATTTTGGTGCGGTGCGGCATTCCTCGACAGGTAAACAGCCCTCGGGGCGCGCTATTACCGTCCTCAGCGGCGATAGCGGCGCGGGGCCGGAAACGCGTGGCATCCGACCCGCGGACTCAGCGAGCCACAAGCGGATACTATTATAAATTCACGACATCCGACCCATGGACCCAGTGAGCCTCAGACCACGTGGGTTCCGCCAACGGACTCAGCGAACTAAAGAAGGAGACTATTATAAACTCATGGCATGCGACCCACGGACCCAGCGAACTGCAGGCGAAGACTGAAAGAAATGCGAGCTAAGAAGCGAGCGTATCATATGCACGTTTACATGATCTCGCAGAGCCTTCTTCTTATCGATCGGCTGCCATTTCAGTTCACGTGTTTTGGTGCCGTGTGTTTTGCGTCTTTTTATTTGTCTTTGTTCTCGCTTCTTCCTGGCAGCGCCAGACGCGTTTGAAGATTGTTCTTTGTTTTGGCTTTCAGTCTGGGAAACGTGCTGGGTGCTGGCTTCGTTTAAAGACGGTAGTTGCACTGTTTCAGTCTTCTCATTACCTTCTCTCTTCTCTCATTTCTCGCTCTTATGTCATTCCACACATTCCAAGGCTTACTACATCCGTTCGCCCCCATCGCCGTTCTCTCAGTGCGAGCTGGAGTCTTGCGGTACAGTATACCTGCAGGCGCCTGCTTTTACTGCCATCTACCGGCGGACGATGACACTGGCCGCAATACCGCGCCTGTGTGCAGTCGCGCATTGGACAGATGGCGCGCCAGACATATTCGAATGTTGTAACATTGAAGTGCGATTGTCTGCGATGAATGAAATCACTCGGAGGCAAGCACTAGCCACAGTTGCTGAAGCCCCGTTGGGAATGTGTATGGCGACGGGCTGCGACATTTCAAGTCGATACAGACTAAGGAGCGGCGAGCCCTCCGCCTCACCCCGCCACAGGAGGAGCCTCTCCAAATGACCCGAAGCCGTTGGCAAGGCAAGCCGTGTTTTGAAGAAGTCACGCAGCTGCCACGTGCTTCAAAATGAGGCGGAGCGGGACGCGAGAACAGGCTGTTACTTAGACCAGTGGCACTCTTGGCACCTCATCGCGCATTTTATGCGGCGGCAAGGAGCGCTGACATTCCACGTACTGACTGATCGTGGTGGTTTCCTGTTTTCTAGAATTGGAGTGGGTTGTAATGCTGTTTGGTGCTGTATTGATAGAATACCGAAGAGAAATGAAAAATGGCGACGTATTTCGTCTTCGTGTGAAGTATTCATAGTTCATACCTATTTGTCTTTTTATATTTTAGAGTTTTATCGTTGTCTTTGATTTATAATCGAGATGGTCACTTTTTAACACTTTTGATCAGAAGTTGAACATTTTAACGTAGTGAATTTAACGTCACGTAAATTTTTAACTTTTATCTATTCCGGTGCCTTTTTGCTTGGAATTGTTACACATAAGGCACTTGACATTCCTACATTTTGCAGTGTTTGTTTTCAAAATAATACAAAATAAATTAATACATATTTTGCTGAAAATATGGCAGGAAAGTTGAGTGAAGCAACCAAGAAGCGACTTAGTAGGCATTTTTGTTGGGTTTACGGAAAACGTGAAAGGACGCATACATCAACATCGATGAATGGTGCGATATTAATAAATTCACATTTACATTCTGTTAGATGCTTAACCATTAGGTACTGTTCAGCCAAACTGATAAGTAAGAATTTTATCGAATATTGTGTTGAGTCTCAATGTGCTTTATACTCATCAGTAATTATATACGACGTTAGTCGGCACAATGTAATTGCAAACGGCACTGCTCACCGAGTGTAGAATCCACCACCAGACGGCGCTCCTTGCAGCTGTACCGCCCCACTCACACCGGTCCCGGGCACCTCCGCGCGCCCGTCGTCTGCGTCGCTCTCGACGCGGCGACTGGCGGAGCCGCGTCGGCACCGACGGCCGACCCGCGTCGGCACCGACGGCCGCCGCTGACAGCTGTGACGTCACGGCTACATTCCGCGGCGGCGCCGGAAACGCGCCGCCAGCGCCGCTGGAGCTGCGGGCGGGGCTGGAGCTGCTGCTGCCCTGTGCTGGCTGTGGTCCGACTGACCCGTGATGTAGGTGTAAGGGAAGGGGGTGGCGCCTGGCAGGCTCAGTTTTACAGCGGGTGAGCTCACACCTTGGTGTGTAGGTGAAGATTACGTCCGGCGGAGCAGAGCGATCCGTATTCAGTCCGAGTCTCTGAAACTGTGGACGGCGCGCCAGATATTCCTCGGACAACATACCGCAAAGTCTCGCAGAGCTCGGAATGTTGCCAGGACAGGGAAAAATGTAACGTCCAAAGCTCTGCGAAACAGTTGCAGGTCGTTGCCAACACCGCACGCAACTACCGGGATATCGTATGTTGCTTCTGTTGGCTGTTCGTCCTAGTTTATTCAAATTAACATCATAAGCACGCCAACATATACTATTACAAGAAAAGTGATTATCACGTGGAATGCAAGTGAGCTTTTAAAAGTGTTTGTCAGAAATATTGGTGCGCTGTTACACGTGGTGTGCATTTGAAATAAAAGGAGATAAGATGTACATACCTATTATTGAATGAATTCCATTGGTGTTGGTTTAATATTACTTTTTACTACTTTGAGATCAATTATTCCTCATCGATCGTAAACGTCCCATCGCTTTTTAGGATATCTTGCGTAAAAAGGTCACTTCCCGACACCCTTGCCTCATTTGCTCCGTTTTAGTGTTTCAAAAGTTCCATTTTGATGTTCCATAAGTCAATGTCCAGCTGCTGGATCCTGACAGCATTTTGAATGCACGACTCGTACTTATCAGAATTACCTACGATAAACGTCATTTGATGCATGCGGCGTCATAGTTGTAGGTAATGGTGTAATAATGCTGCCAAATTTGAGGGAGAAATCAGAAATTGGAAACAGCATGTCCAATTCAAACGTGTTTATATGTATAACGCGCTTCTTCATTCATACCATTCATGAATCCCCAACGAGCACAATAAGACAAGAAAGTGCTTGACCCGCATATATTTTCAGCCCAAGCGCAAAAAGGTAGCAGCTGCCAAGGTTCATACAACGCCATCATTGGGCAATCGCGCACAAAACACGCACCGTCCGCGGCGCGTTGCCAAACGACTCTGTTCCACTCTCGCCGTGCACGTAAGCAGGTCGCGGCGCCCCGCCCGGCGGTCTCGCACCGTCTGTCTTTGTTCGATCGGCCCGCCGCGGACCGCCCCGCTGGGCTGCCGGCGTGGACTGCTGTGCTCTCCAGCGGCTGACGATACCGGACGGCGCTCTGTAGATGTTCAGTCTCCGCCTGACGGGACCGCGCTGCGTCTCTATTCGATGGTCAGGCCGAGGTTATCCCTCTGGCTGACGGCGCGGGCGTACTGCAGCAGCGACTCGTTATCCTCACAGAAGACGGGCTTGCGGTGGTAGCAGGCGATGTCGTGCCACGACACGCCGTCGTTGTAGATGCCGTTGAGCAGTCCGAGGCACGGCTCGTTGGTTTGGTTAATGGTAAACTCGGCGTTGTCCGGCTGAGGTTTCTTCAGATGGCCCGTCTGCGACCACGGCTGCTCGGACCAGCCTGTGGAGAAGGAGGGCGGGGAGGTCAGTACAGTTCGAGACAGGGGCTGCTTGAAAAGGCCAGGGAAGAAAGGGGCTCACTTCAGTCTAAGTCCTAAGAGCACAGCTTTTCGGGCAAGCCTGTGGAGAAGTGGGAAGGCCTTAGTACCCTCTGAGGCAAGGGCTGGTGACACTACCCTGCAGAGAGGCCGCAAACCAGTTCAAAGCGGAACGCAGTCTAATAGAAGATTCAGCAGTCTTTGGAATGGAGGACAGCGGCGGGTGCAAAGTAAGACTGCACCCGAAACTAACGAATGAGGCGCTGATAGCGGACGATCAGCGTGTCAGATGCGCCTGGAAATCCCCTCTTGAAGGAAAAGCTGAATCACTATCGATCATCCTTACCTGGGGGCGTCGAGTTGGTGGGCGCCATTTTGACGTTGCTTCCCGACCAGAACCAGCCGTTGATGTTGAGCGGCTTCAGGTCCTCGCGCACGTCACAGCCCTTGAAGTCGCACAGACGACCGGACGACCACAGGTAGATAATGCCCCCTAGAAAATGGGGGCCAGTCAGACCGACCCCTAGACCATTACAACCCTTGGTGAACAAGATTGAGATAATGAGTTAAATATGCTGCGGCCTATATGGATTGGCCAAAAAGCCGGACAGGTGAACAATAATAAGCATTAAAGTTACCACGAGAGACAGTTAATCACATATTACGTGATTTCCTTTTTCACATTGGCGATGTCTGACTATAGCGACCAAGGCGTCACTCTAACAGAAAGAAAAATGGAAAAGTAGAAATTGCAATTGGAGGACAACACTGAAGGCAGGGGGAGTGCGACAGCCTACGGCGAACTGTCCGATACCTGTCGGAAGCCCTGGGGCTGATTTCGCACAGACCCCAGTGGCGGGTGGCGGGTCGCGACAATGAGGTATGCGGAACGAGGGCGGGACGGCATCTACTCACTCTCTGAGATGTTGCGCTTAACCATCTGCCACTCTGGCTCCGTCTCGACGCTGATGCTGTCCATGCAGTAGTGCCTGCACAGGTTGCGCGCCTCCAGCCAGTTGTAGCGCTTGCCGACCGTCTCCTGGGTCTTCTCATCTATCTCCTGGAACTCGGGCTCGTCGGCCGAGTAGAAGTACCAGTGGTTGCCCAGCTTCCAGTGCTTGGGACCTGACGGACACGGACGCGGCAGGGTCAGCTATTGCGCGGGGCCGATGGATGTGCTACTCAGGCGCAAGAGCCCCGAGGCATACATGATCGGGAACGAATGCAGTTCAAAACCATTATCGTATGCAAAAATCATAGAGTTTAAGAAACATTTACAATTATTTGTAATGAGTTGATACCAGGTCGGACATGGGTGTCCTTGTCCAAATACGCCTACTACAATTACATAATTGACCTGGGGCCGGAGTAAAAATAATTCATTCATTCATGCAATTCATATTCATCCCGTGGTAAATGTTCCGGGTGGCCAGTCCCGGCCCTGTCAGACCGGGTGGCCAGACGACTGGGGGAGGGGAGGGGGGGGGGCACCCTCAGGCGGCCGGCAGCGCTCCCAGTCTCGGTGGCTGGAGATGGGACCCGGCCGGCGCGGTGACCGGTGGAACGGACGGCCGACCGGCGCGGCGGTGGCCGGTCGGCGGCTCACTTTCACTCTCTGCTGGCCGCCGGCGGCACCGCACGCGGTCAGGCCACTTTTACTGACGGCCTCTGTGGCCAACGACGGAGACGCACACCAAGACAGAGACGTAGACGAGTCACGTAACTAAAAAGTCGTGTCGTGTCCGTCTCGTCCGGCGCACTCGGCCCAGCCACTGTCCACACTCGTCAGTCAGGTCCGCACTGAGTCCCCGCATCCACCGCCCATTGTCCCTCTCCGGGCACCGATGTAATAGGTTATCGTTTTTCTCTATCTAATACCTAACAAGGCCAAGTCGCAGCCTGTCTTCGATGCATTTTATTAATCTGAGAAAGGAGTTTAATAGCCACTGATAATAGCGCACGATGGCGATCGACATGTTAGATTCCGCTCTCACAGAAAAGAACAATGAAACTGACACCCGCAGGAAACTTGGGAGGAAGATTTGAGCTTAACATAGTCGGTATTGCATATTATAGCTGCGCGTTGGACGAACTATCTGTTCATCGCAATGGCGCAACCCTCCCTCCCGGGGCAGTATGAAACGCCGTATTATCGTTGATCGGTCATCCGCACCTATGGGGTCGTTGCGACACGTGCGGTCCCATACGCGGCGCGAGTGGAGCGCAGCTGGGCGTTTGGCAATGGTCATTTGCATACGGTGTCGGCTGCAGCCGCGCTCAGACCGGCGGCCGAGCCGACCCTACCAGCGGCTCGTCTGAGTCTGACGCCGGCAAGCTCACAGATAGGGAGCTGTATCAAAGTGCCTGCCGCGTAAAAGATAAAACGGAGCTATAGGAGCAGCCGAAAACCTGGATAGGTCACTTTATACCCAGGGGAATCACACCAACGCGTGGAAGGTTTCAGTCGAACTCCAATTATCTCCACATTAAATTGCTCTTTCTATTCTACCGTCTCAATACCTTCATTGACCTTCCTGTCGATTACCGGCAATTTAATGGAAGGTATGTGAAAAAACAGCCAGTAGGGTAAGGGCGGCTAAGAGTACGCGGGCGATAAGAGTACGCATCAGCTGTTTCGGTTGCTTAGCAACGCGGGTTTGTCGAGTTCATGAAGTGATATGAAGCTTCACTCAATATAGGTACCCTGACATGAAGCCGCCTGAAGCCGCCAGTGCGTGCATGTCACCAACGGAACGTGGGCGTTGAGCGGCGACGCTGTTGAGTTTAAGGCGATGAATATTATTTTCGAGTGTTATGATATTATTATGATATGGTACAATAATTTTGATACTTGGCAGTTGAGATGAGGTACATTTCCGTGATTGTTGTGGGAAACTTGTGAGGTTATCTGGGGAAATACTGTACAGTGCAATATTCTGTTTGCGAAGTTTTGCACAACGTTTCGGGGTTGTTTTGTGCGCGAATTGCATGTACGGTAAGAGGACGCACTGTTCAGGAGGGTAAGAGTACGCAGAATTATACATTAAATCGAATATGCAGGAATACCTATAATTATTAATCTATCGCTCAATGACGTTTGTTTTGTAGGTATATCATCAATGGAGCACTGGTGATGCAGATGCGTACCCGAAATTCTTCCAAATACGAGTTATTCTCCTTTTTGATTGTGCATTTTTTTTTTAAGAAACACACGACATGATTATTTCCTGATTTATAGACTTCAAAGATTTATTTTATATTTTTCTTTTGGGATACTAGAATTAACTTAAATGCCTTCTGAGTTTGAAGTTAAGCATTTGGACAATGCAAGCTGCATAGGTGTGTGTTCATATGCTTGCGTACTCCACCCGCCTGGCGTGCGTACTCTTACACACCCCATATGGTAAGAGTACGCAAGTGCAACGCTTCAGAAAATGTCAGTTTTAGACCACTTCCATTTACGCTGAAGGATCGTTGCCCCATGGGTTGATGGCTAATTCAATTAACTTTAATATTCCCTATTTGCGATTTCTTTCCTTCAAATATTAAACAAATGAGAGCAAGAAATCCACTAAGTGCGTACTCTTATACGACTTCACCCTACTCTAGTCCCTAGTCCAAAGTGCTGCTGAATCACCCCATTCGTTAACATCTTGTGTGCCCAGCATCTCACGGACGAAGACGGCTGAAGCGCCGAAGGTCACTGAGCCGCCATGCATCACCAAGCGAAGATGCGGCGCTCGCTTCACCCCGGTCAAGGTTCAAGGAAAGAGGAAGCGTGCGCGAGACTCGTCTGTGTGCTCGGGGCGATCGCCGCGCCTTCCACACTCTGTGGACAAACAGCGCCGCATGGCGCACCCCTGCGCCGCGTGCACATCTCCTGCGGCCGTGGGCCCCCGGCTGCAGTTCCGGGTGCTGAGATAGCTAGCCAGCGGCGGAGGACGGCTGCCGGGCCGGGGGTCAGGGCCTCCCGTCCGCGCCGCTGCCGCGCGCACCGCCTGCACAAAACCAGTTCCACTCCCGAGCCGAGCCGTGTCGCTCCGCTCGGACAGGAAATTCTGGAGGCTTCTCGGGACTCTCGTCTCTGGGTGATTCACGTCACTTCATCCGTACCTGCAATCTCTTCTGTCAACTAAGGAAAAACCTGTCACGGTTCTGAAAAAGGCGCCAGAGCTCACATGGCGCGTGAGTCTCGCAACGCGCCGACGCTGCTTTTTGTTACGGTTAATCGTGGAACAGTAAAATGAAAGCGAATCCCTGACACAAAAAGATCGCGCATGATATGCCACATATTAGATACTAAACTAGCGATAAATGCGTTTCAGTTTGAAAATCAAAGTCAGCGTCTTATTCTTGTACATCTCGATGAGGTGACAGCTTTAAGTGCTACGATTCCGAAGCCGCCATGAGGTGGCGGTGCCGTTGTTCACCGCTAAAGTAATGTGACTGATCATAGCTTTGGACTGATCGCTGCCCTGGATCACGCCAGGCCGCCTCCTCAGAGCTGATTTGCTATGGTCAGGGGGACGGGGGGGGACTGGTGGTCGCCAGTCGCCACGTCCCCGCGCCCAGTCACCCTCAGGGCCGTGATTCAGCACGGGCTGACGGGGTGGATCAGCCTGGCTCCTGGAACCGGCCAGTGTCGCGGGATGGGCCGACCACAGCTGCTGTTTGCACGAGACAAAGTGACCAGTCACGCCGCATAGCGTCATTGGAATCTGTCGGTGACTCGGTACATAGTGACTTCGGTATGTGTGTCTAGGCTATAGGTAAGGCAGATTATATGTTGACTGATGCTTTTATGCTCAAGTGACTAATTGGATCTTCCGTAAGGACCTTAAGAACATTCTGAAAGGCGCTTTGAAATGACCCCTGCAGCTGCGATAAGAAAATTTACCCCTTTATTATGGATGTAGTTGGCATCCGCGCACACAGAGCTAACGCACATTAGCTAACTGACTAATATCACTTTTCTTATAAGCCCGATTTTTCGAATGGGCGCATTGATCAAGGTAGAACCTGTGCGAAAAGAATATGGCGTGTTTTGCGATAGTTTCTAGCACAGAAGAGGCATGCCTTCCATCGGAACCTGCACCAAATTCTCCCAAAGCTCTGCTTTGAATAATTATTGCCACCTGCACAGATAACAGTAGTACTACTGTTATCTGTGCCACCTGTAATAAAATATTTTATCATTCCGGACACTCTACTTGTTGCTCGGCCGGCCGGCAGTCAACGCGACCATATCTCGGTCACCGGGCGGGAATATGTATGGATGATCACCGCGGTCTCTGAGAGCACATTGTGAAGCACTTATTCCTGATTCCGCCTGGTTTGAAGGTCACAGGCTGGTTTTTCGCCGAGCCGGAATTACCGTGCTATTCGGGGAGGGCTTGACTGCTCTGACAGCGAGTGGCTACAGTTTTAAAGGTCGACTTGAAATCTAGCTTCGAGTTGAAAGACAAATTCATAGTTCCAGCTCGTACTTCAGTATCCACTTCGGTACAGTTTATGTGTTGAATCACAGACGTGAGCCAGATAAAATGTGATTTGACGTTAATTAAGAACGATATCGGTCCTGTTCCATCTGTCGGTTTTACTAAAGAATGGGTACGTTTTTCTATTTTAATATTCGCTCATTATATTCTTTAAAAAAAAAGAAAAAAAATGAGAATGGGAACAATCGTAATGCCTTTAAATGAATGAAGCATGTTAAGCGTGACTATTATAGTTACAGCGAAGAAAACAATCGCCGTGTTTGGCAATGCGAAATATAAGAATCCTGCATGCAAAAACCCACCTTATGGTCTCAAGCGACCTATGATCATCAACGCTATCCTCGTCAATATTTTACATATGGTATTAAATATCTAGCCCATGGCTTGCGAGGTGCACTAGTCTAGTCTTCTCAGATTAGTCTTTCATCTGTTAACCTCTAGCCCGGTGAGCTTTGTCTCTCTAACTGAAGCCCGACGCGGCTGTGGCTGCCCTCCAGCCGTCCCCTGGCTGCGATAGTGTGCTACGTGTCGGCAGAGCAGAGCACAAATCCCGGTGTTTAGTGGCCAGTCCAAGGACAGCCAGGAGAGCGCAGGCGCGTCAGTATGATCCGGAATGATGCTGTGTAAAAATGCATCGAGACTCGAGCAGGGGATCGGCTCAGTGCTGCGGGCCGGGCCCAGCCGTCGTCGGTCTTATCGGCGTACGGAATCCGTATACCCTTATCGGTATACGGAACTCGCAGCTACCGCATTATTCCGACGGGCGAGCACGGATGAAACCGATATCCATTAATATCGTTGTTCTTATCCGACAAATCACTTCGTGCCTGACATCAGCGAACCTCTAAGAACACCTTCCCGGCTGACCTCCGATCTGACCTCTTCAGCTGACCTCCTGGCTCTACAGGGTGTCTCAAAAGTTCGTTCACACATTTCCCATGCCAATAAAGCATATAAGAACCGGCCAAAAGTATAAAGTTTTGGTGTCTGTGTGTACACTAGACAAATATGCATGCTTTGACAACTGATTAAGAAGGTTGGAAACCAACCCCTTTGCTGTATCTCCAAAAAATATTTGCCCATACCGATTTCTGTTGCTCCGTCAGCTGCCGGAGGCTGATAAAAGGTTACCAGCTTTCAAGCTCTTGCAGGGGAATCCCCTGTAGTTTCTGCGTCGGATTTAGTTTTGACTAGCTCCCCGGCAACATCTGATTTTCCCTGAAAGCCGACAGCTTGCATCGACACCATTCTTGAGTATTTTGTAGGCATTCTCTGGCGCTAACTGCTTCATGAATGACTGGCGCCGACATCCCAAGCGCCATTTTCCTTTTCAAAACGACCCCAGTCCTGAACAAACGGGAAGTAGCAGGAGTAATTTTTTCGCATCATATGGTAGCAGAATGTGTCGGACGTCTGTTTCTCAGACACATTGTGCAAATTTTGCAAATTCCAAGCGCTCGTCATTCCCCATGCCAAGACCTTCGCTCGGTTGCGGAGTGTTTTCCTCGGGAGATGTTCTGCTTTGTAAACGGCCCAAACCTGTCCATCGTGTGGTTTTATCGGGATTTTGTGTTTAAAAGAAAATCATTCGCTGCAGATCTGCCTCTTGAAACTTCGTTAGATAAAATTTTACAATAACTGACACTTTTGGAGGGTCAGGTGTCCTTGGCATTGACGATTTTTGTGTTATTGTCCCCAAAAATTAGCGTTATAGATATTATAAACAATTTTAAATTATAATTTGTCTTTATTTTACGATGACCTGCACTTTTTGAAAATGGGTAACCTCTGTCTGTGACCTTCTTGCCAGTTTTCAATAGTTATGACCGCATTTTCAGCTGCTTTCCGGAACACGAGTCTGCTGTCGTGCGAGGGTCGTTCAAAACGCCGTTAGTCTCGCATGGTTTCGTCCTTCAAAAATTTTAGCCACCGTTTTTATGAGATAATCATCATGTTGCACTCATCCTCGCCGACACTTAGCCATGTGTCATTTCCGACTTAACCATTCCCATTACTCCTGAAACAGAGAGTTTCACAACATACCCGACTTTGCAACCTACATTTTCGTGCCTGACCCATGGTCAGAGGTGAACCCTTTTTGTGAGCTCATGAAGGGTCGAATGCACTTGAAAACAATGAGACTGCTTGAGGAAGGTTGTCACCAATGCCCATGCAAAATTTCGACTGTTTATTTCTTGTTGATTCAGAATTATTGACAAAAAAGCATGGCTGGTACCTGTGAACGAACTTTTGAGACACCCTGTACAGGGGGTACCGGAATGTCCCCGCCGCGGTACTCACGTTTGGCACAGAGCGCAGGGATCGGCGGCTCCAGCAGGGTGCCCGAGTCGTCGCTCTTGGCCGTAGTAGTGGTGGTAGTGGTAGTTGTGGTGGTCGTGGTCGGCCTCCTGCGGGGTAAAGACAGATTGTTACTGGAAGTTTTCTACGGGAGCTTTGGGATTAACTAAACCCATAGAAAATGTCACGTCCAGACGCCCTTGGCAGTACCAAGGTGATGGGTGACGTCTTTCTTTCTGGGCGATATGTGGGACGCCGGTTTTGTGGTGCCCGGTTGGCTTGTTATTCTGCCTGAGTTGGGTCGGTTTGCGGTTCATAAAAGCGGCAGCGCTGTCGTGGTGGTGTCATCTTTGACAGACAGATTAACCAACAAAGGGCCGCGCCAGGCGCTCGGGGATTGCGCCACCCTTTCCCGCTTCCCTCGACGTCTTTGTTATAGCCTGGTGTTTTGTTGTGCGTCTCACAGCATGCTCCTCGCCGTGGAAGACAAGCAGCGAATCCATTATAGTTAGCAGAGGAATTATTGTCTCTGTTGTGAACGACTTAACGCAACTGGCACCATCCTATTGTTATGAACGTTCTTGATACGAGAAATGCTATGTTTGAAAATGGTTTGTTTTTAATGAATGACTAAAATATCACAAGTTTAACGGCTCAGAATATAGGTAGGTATATGGAGGTATACATATAGGTAGACGGTCGAGGTAGCAATTATGTAACGCTGCTGGTTGATCTCGGGCTCACCTCCGGTTGAAGCCGAATCGGTTGGCGCCGAATCGCTGCGTCTTTCTGATGGCCTCGCGTTGCCTCTGGAAGGTGGACTGCTGCCCGGCCACCAGGGTCACCAGCAGCACCAGCAGCACTAGTCGGAGCAGCATGGTGACCTGACGAACAAACAACCGTCAGATTACTGGAGGATGGCCACTGACCAGCCCAAAGCTATCTTTCAGCCGTCGATATCACTTATCGCAGTCCGTCAGACAGTTATTATAAACGGTTTAATTCAGAGGTTTTTGTCGCCCTACCATACGATGGTAAATTATATTTTATGATATTTATTGGTATAGAAAGATATTTATTATACGCGTGAAAAATAACGAATGGGAAGGATGAGTGAATTTTAGCGGGATCTGTTGACAAGAAATTTGCATTATAGCTAAATATGGGCAGTGGCAGTGGCAGTGGATGGCAGTGAATTGATCCAACATGCATTCTAACAAAAAGCGTCAATTTAAGTATGGCGCTAAAACGGCAATTTTTTCCAATAATTATCTACCACCGTCTCTTGATGCCGCAAACATTTCATTCTGACATACACACGAGCGCATGAGCCCGCAGCATGCATGAGCCCAGCTCCCGGTTGGTTACGTTTATGTGCGGCAGTGCAGTCCCGCCCGCGCACAAGCACTTACAGTCAGTACCTACTCTATCATCTATGGACCGGTAAGCTTACACTGAGTCTGATTGGTTGCATAATTTAACAAACGGCGATAAACCGAACTTAAACATGAGTAGATTTTTAATTAGTTGCCACTGAATTTATCATTGCGTAGTTATGATCATCTGATTTTACGTAGATAAACGGTAATGAAAAACTACCGATTGCGGTGCATAGAAGTCGAGAGGAGTGCTGTGATTTACCTATCCGTACCAGTTCGTCGCCTGTCTCGTCGACTGTTGAAACCAGCCTGACCACCGTGACCGTCGCCACTCCAGCTCACCCCACTGCCTCTGCCACAGTCGCCACCGCGGCCCCGCACCCGTTGGGTAACTGAACTGGTTACCCAACGGGGCGCGGCCGGTCGGTCGGACGAACGGATGTACCGCGCCCGACACGACTCGCAGCAGAGAAGTCAGGGGATGGTGCAGTGGCCAGACCAGGGTTTCTAGAACCTATGACTGAGCTGATTAATGAAAATGTTTTTTTTTTAAGCAAATGACGTTTAGATGCTTCTTTTTTTTGAGTCATGGATAAAGGGTTCTGTAATTTAAGTCGCAGGTAGCAAGTGTGATCGGAATGTGAATGTGATAGTTGTAATGCCTTCCATTTTTTCTTATTTAGGCTCGCTAAAAATATGTGTTAAACACAAAAATACCTATGCTGTAGGTACTGGTAAGTGGTAACCTTATATCATAATACCATACAATAGGTATGAACTAAAAACAACCACCGCTGTATTTAATTTCACTGTTGGACACACAGGTGTTCTGGTTGAAAAAACGCCATAACAATAGATCAGCTAACATAGACGGTCCTACGTGACTGTTACTGCGGTGGAGTGCATGGAGGTATCTTTTGTGGCTATAACAGCAGGTCACTGCGGAGACGTACCTTCTGTGGCTATAACAGGTCACTGCCGAAACGTACCCTTTGTGGCTATAACAGCAGGTCACTGCGGAGACGTACCTTCTTTGGCTATAACAGCAGGTCAATACCGAAACGTACCCCCTGTGGCTATAACAGCAGGTCACTGCCGAGACGTACCTACCTTTTGTGGCTATAACAGCAGGTCACTGCGGAGTGCGGAGACGTACCTTCTGTGGCTATACCAGCAGGTCACTGCGGAGACATACCTTCTGTGGCTATAACAGGTCACTGCCGAAACGTACCCTTTGTGGCTATAACAGCAGGTCACTGAGGAAACGTACCTTCTGTGGCTATAACAGGTCACTGCCGAAACGTACCCTTTGTGGCTATAACAGCAGGTCACTGCGGAGACGTACCTTCTGTGGCTATAACAGCAGATAAGTGCGGAGACGTACCTTCTGTGGCTAGTCCGGCGGGAGAAGTGCGGCGGAGACGAGAGACTGGCCCCTCGCGCAGGTACGAGTGGGCCGGGCGCTTTTACGGCGGCACGTCTCCACGAATCACAGCGCCCGGGACAAGGTCGTCTCCTAGCTCCCGGAGCCTCTCGCCACAGCGCGCGCCGGACCGGACGGGCTCGACCGGCGCCCGACGTATAATGACGAGGCGCTAACGGAGATGACGGTCTACCTATGTAGGTGTGTATGCATGCAGCATGTAGATATGTATGTATGGAGCGGACGGAGCTCGACCGGCGCCCGCCGTACGATACCGATGCCACTTGACCTGACCTTAGAGTCACCGGTTGACCTGAGTCCTGGAGACTTTAAAATCAGGTACCAATCGCTGCGTCTCGTAACGGCGCACACGCTCGTTTTCCTTTTCTGCGAGGCTTTAGCTCCATTAGGGGCGAAACGGCGAAGGGGTCGCACCAACCCCTTCCCTCGTCCGGGGCATATGTAAAAGAAAACAAAACAACAATACGTGTAGGTCCGGCGAATCGCCGTGCTGGTGGCCTGTGTTTTCCGTGTCGTGCTGGCGGGGGGGGGTCGTTTTCACGCCCCCCCCCTAACTCGGCTCTTGACAGGGGCGGTCGCAGACTTGGAGTTTGGGGGGGGCCAACTTGGCAAAGGGGCCCCTGCGCTGACCCGAGGGGCCCGGTGCTAGCTCAAAGGGGCCCACGGGCGTAGTGCACGGGTACAGAAATCCAGGCCATGACCGGTGAAGCGGGGGGGGGGGGGGTAGGGAGCGGCACCCGAGCGGAGGCTCATTGCGAGCTTTAAGGGTGTACAATGTCGAAAAGGTACCGATAAGTGCATTTTGAATCATTGATATTGTCTATAATTCACGCAACTGTGAATGGACTACCGCAAAAGTAAAGGCGGCTTATGTAGGCAGCTAACTTTGCTATTTTCTAAGATCATCGTGCTAAAACTTTTGACAGTGGGTCCTCGGTATCTGTTCACTGTTCAATCATGTGTTCATGTGTTCCGTTTCATCTTCTCTCTTTTTTACTGGGCACAAATGTAAGTTTTGAAGACCATTACAGTATCAAATGCTTCGAAAGATGGATAGTGGGCAAAATATCCTAAATTTGTCGTGCTGCATGGAAAGTAGTGTTGCTGAGAAAAAGGGGGTTTTGTTCTAGACTATTGTGGATGCAGAATACATTGTCTGCACCCACTGCAGAATTGTGTTTGGTGCAACTGCGCCCACTGCACCCATGGTTCCTACACTTATGGGCCCATCGATAGCGCTTAGGCGATACCTATCGCCTAGAGGCTGCAATGGTGCCCTTAGAGTACGGTGTCAGACCCCCCAGAGGCCGGCGTTGGACCCAAGGGTCAGCGAAGGGTCTCAAAGGCCCAGGTAGGACCCCAGAGGCTGATGTGGGCCTTCAGAGGCAAGTGCGTGACCCCCGAAGGTAAGGCTTGAGCCCCCCAGAGAACATAATACGGCCATCAGTGGCCGGTGTAGAGACCTCATAGGCCAGTTTGGGGCCCCTCAGAGGCTAGTGTGGGGCCTGAGGTGTCGGCATGAGACACTTAAAGACCGTTATGGGTCCTCAGAAGCCGGCATCGATCCTTCAGAAGCCAGTACGGGGCCCTCAGAGGCACATAAGGGTCAGTTTGGGTCCCAGAGACAGAAACGGGACCATCAGAGGCCGGTGTGGGACCTAGGCTGGTTTGGGCCCTTAGGGGCCAGTTTAGGGCCCTCAGAGACCAGTACAGGGCCTGCAAAAGGCAGGTTGAGACCATCAGAGACCGAATTGGGCACTCAGAGGCAAATGTGGGTCCTTACAGGCCAGCATGTCCAGAGGTTAGCGTGGTGCCCTAAAAGACCGACATGGGCCGGCGTTGGACCCCAGAGGCCAGTAGAGGGCCCTTAAAGGCCAAGATGGGCCCTCAGAGGCCGATGCGGGCCCTTACAGACCGGCATCGGGTCTTTAGAAGCTCGTGCGGGGTCCTCAGAGGCTAAGGTGGGTACTTACAGGCCAGCACGAGCTGTCAGAGGTCAGTGTGGGGCCCTAAAAGACCGGCATGGGCCGGCGTTGGACCCCAGAGGCCAACAGAAGGCCCCCAAAGACCAAGATGGGTCTTCAGAATCCAGTGCGGGGGCCCTCAGAGGCTAATGTGGGCCCTTACAGGCCAGCATGGGGCCCTCAAAGGTCAGAATGGGACCCTAAAAGACTGGCATTTGCCGGCGTTATACCCCAGAGGCCAGTAGAGGGCCCTCAAAAGTCAAGATGGGCCCTCAGAGGCCGATGCGGGCCCTTAGAGGCCGGCATCGGGTCTTCAAAATTCAGTGCGGGGCCCATAGAGGCTAATGTGTGTCCTTACAGGGCAGCATGGGGCCCTCAGAGGTCAGTGTGGGGCCCTAAAAGACTGGCATGGGCCGGCGTTGGACCCCAGAGGCCAGCGGAGGGCCCTCAAAGGCCAAGGTGGGCCCTCAGACGCCGATGCGGGCCCTGAGCGGCCGGCATTGGGTCTTCAGAATCCAGTGAGGGGGGCCCTCAGAGGCTTATGTGGGTCCTTACAGGCCAGCATGGGCCCTTAGAGGTCAGTTGTGGGCCCTAAAAGGCCGGCAAGGGCCGGCATTGGACCCCAGAGACCAGCGGAGGGCCCTCAAAGGCCAAGATGGGCCCCCAGAGGCCGATGCGGGCTCTTAGAGACCAACATCGGGTCTTCAGAATCCAGTGCGGGGCCCTCAGAGACACTTAAAGGCTGGTCTTGGGACTCGAGAGACAGAAATGAGGCCATCAGAGGCCGGAATGAGGCTCTCAGATGCCGGTTGGGCCCCTGAGACCGGTTTAGGGGCCCTCAAAGGCCAGTGGAGGGCCCTCAGAGGTCAATTTGGGTCCTCAGCGGTCAATGTGGACGCTTGACCGCCACTGAAGGGCCCTCCGACGTCGGTGTAAGACCCTCAAAGACTGGTATGGGAGCTGTTAATAGCTGGCGTGGGTTTCTCGAGCCTCGTGACAATCGAATACGGGCCAGGGCCCCATACGGCCATGGGGGCCCATCGGTTGTTTGGGGGGGGCCAAATGATATGATGGCCCCCCCTGATTTGCCTTTGGGGGGGGGCCATGGCCCTGATGGCCCCCCCCCCTGCGACCGCCACTGGCTCTTGAGTCACGTAGTGACACGCGGTAAGCGGCAATCGAAAGAGCGTCAAAAATAATGTCTGAAGCACTTCAGTCATATTTTAGGTCACCAAAGGTCATCAAAGGTGAAATTTAGTTCATTTCATCAATTTTGGAAACTGCCATGGGCTAACTCGGGAACCACTAGAGCTAAAGCGCCGCGGAAGAGCGCATTCGATAGCCCTTTTAGAGACCTTTCTGATTATTGTCCTCAGATTTGAACTCAGGTCAACGGTTAGCCCTCCATAAGGCAAAAACTGTAAAAATAGCCGTTTTCACGAAAAATGTTTTTCGGTAATAACTTTTGACTCAAGAGAGCCACGACATTACTTTAAGCAGTATCATGCTCCTCTCGTCTAGTCGCGTCGAATGAAGTATACGTTGACCTTGAAAGGTCATTTTGAAAATTTGACCTCAGGTCAAAGTCATGACCTGACCGGAAAGGGTCATGCTGCATACCAGTCGATCCGTATCGTTGAGCTGAACACATCTGACGTGATTTCACCGCTCTAGCACATCTCTATCAAAAGTTATAGCAAAAAAACTGCTGGTGACCGTTCATGACTCAGGGGCACACAGATCGGGGTCACAGGTTCATTTTTTTCCGATTCGGTGTGTCATGTTAACCTGTGAACTAACGCTTGAGAGGGTTTTGAACGACATTCGTCCAAAAGGAAGCGCATTTTAATTTTCTCCCATTGACTTTGTAAGGTCGGAGAGGTCGCAAAATTTACCTTGACCTTAGGTCACAGATATAAAAAATCCGAGGTATACATTTTATACATACTGTTGCTCCTATCAATCGCTTAACCCGCGCACCGACGGGGGTCTGCGCCAACTTCGCACCGACGCACGGTAGGCGATCGGGCCGGTCTAGCCTCGCGAAACCTCAAAGACACTTTTTTCCGAAAAATGGAAAACAACGCATACTAGTCGACAGAAAATTCATCAAAGATTACGATTAGTGCATTTGCATGGCTCAGGAGACATTTTTTCGTTGACAAAAGTATCGTTAAAGGCAGCGTTCCGTAACACTTCATAAGGGGGATAATCACAGCCGATTTTTACGCTCTTTGAATATTTTGCGGAACGATGAAATTGCTAGGTGTTGAGCATCCATTTTGCATGGAAAGTGAAATTTAGATGTTTAGACGATTCCGCCATAGAAAGCAAGTAGACAAAATCAGTTCAAAATGTCTTATAATTAGGTTAACTTTTTATATTTTTTTCTACCACTGAACATTACGCTCACTGAATTAACCAAGCCCAGCAAAAAAAGTTTTACGAGGATGAACTGAAAATAATGCTGTATCGCATGCACTAAGACACTATCTATTAGGGGAGCCAGTGAAAATTTGCAGCCACTTGCAGCCCTGGCATCCAGACACTTTTTTCTTCTAAGGGTTGACCGTGGCTTGGTGCACTTGAGCACAAGTGGTAAATGCCCCAAAGGGTGTTTTTGCGATAGCTCAAAACACCCAGGCAATAGAGAGCTGCAACCTGGCATACCTGACCTTTGATGCACGCTGGATCTTGTGACACCAATCGCACTTTCAAGTCAGGTCAGATCACTGACCTATGACGTCATACATGAACCTCTGCACGATCCTCAGATGTCGCAACCTTGCAACGCTCTCAGTGCCAGAGTAACCTTCACAGGGAGTTGAGATTTGCAGGACGTATTGTCCTTCAGAGGTCTTACAACTTGTATATCTCAGATTTTTCCTAAGGCTGGAGACTTCCACACGCGGGTAAGTCGCGTGTAAGTGGTTTGCGGGTAAGTTGGCGTTTATCTCGCGTTTAAGTCGGCGGGTAACTTTGCCCGGAGACTTCCATCTGCGGGTAAATAGTTTGTTCGCTAAGTTAGCGAACGAACTTACACGCGAGCCACCCCATGTATTAAGTTCGCGGGTATCTTTTCGGTGGTGCTTTTTTTGGTCCTTAGGGGGTTTTAAAAGTTTATGTCTGTGCAAATTTTATGTGCAAGTGATAGACAATAGTGCAATCATCTAGTTCT